CAGCTGAATTAATTCCGTTGGCGGGCCATTGTAGCGGGCGCGTCAATTTTTTTTTAATGTTGGCGCGTGCGTTGCACGCGCCAACGTTAAAAAAAATTTAACAGCTGCGTTGACGTCGTCGTGACGTTAGCGCGCTGACGTCGGCCCAAAACTCGTTTTGCTGCTCGGGCTGGACCTGCCCGAGGGCTAGCCCAGGCAAATTTTTTTTTCTGGGGCCCACACCTTGCCCTGGCAGCTTTGTGTTGCTGGAAACAAGATTTTCCCCCAGCCCCCCCCCCAGCCTGCTTGCTGGAAATGCTCTTACTGAACGATTGAAAAAATACAAATTTATAAATAAACTCAATCTTAGATATGTATTTATAAAAAAAATTCAAATATTATTTAAAAATCAATAATTATATATTTTTTGGGTGTGTTTATAAATGAGTTTTGAGTGTGTGTAATGATGAGTTTTGAGTGTGTTTATAAAGTGTTTTGGGTGTTGGGTTTTTTTTTTAATTTCAGCCTCCATTTTGGGTGGTCTTCTCCAACCCATGAGGGGTTAAACTCAAATTCTCTCCCTCCAAAAAGTAACTATTTGGATATTGTGCGGACTCAAATTATTTTTTCTCTCAACCATTCAGACTCAAATTTTAAGTCCACAACTTTATTAAATTGTTTAAGAATTATTTAAGTATATTTTTTTAATGGATAACTTTTCTTCATTTAATCTTTTTAAATAACATCATAATTTAATTTTTTGAACAATTTGACCTAAAAAAAATTGAAATTCCATAAATTTAATTTTATTCCAAAAGTAAACACACAACATAATTGAAACACAAAATGAGGATTGAAACAATTGTCGACCTCATTCACCATCTCCAAAGCTCCTCCAAAGGTGATTGATCAAATCATTTCGGAGACTCTGATGCACATGTGGAGATCGAACTCTATTATAACAAATCATGTAATTAGAGAGAGTCTACCTATCTTGGTGGTACTCATATGTAATGTTTGGCCCCATCTCATATTGTTTTGCTCTAACCCTCCTAGATCGTTGTGGACACATATCCTCATTATTAGATTCCTCTTCAACAAATTCGTACTCATCCTCCACAATCATGTTGTGCAAAATTATACACGTCATCATGATTGAGTGGGGGTTATCCTTGCACTACATATGTGCAGGGCCTCGAACAATAGCCCATCTAGCCTGTAGTATTCCAAATGCTCTTTCAAAATTCTTCCTGTACGCTTCTTGCATTTGTGCAAAAAGCCTATTCTTTGGGTTATCAGGAGAAGATATGGTCTTCACCAAAATGGCCCAACGGGGGTAGATCCCATCTGCTAAATAATAGCCCAAATGGTATTGATTTCCATTGACAATATATTCAACATGAGGAGCCACTCCATGTACCACATCATTGAACAATGGAGAACGAGCTAAAATGTTGATATCATTGTTGGATCCAGCGGCTTCAAAAAAGGCATGCCATATCCATGTGTCGTACGAGGCCACAGAGGATAGCCCTTGTCGGCCGAGACCGTCTTTTTTTTTGCGAAAGTATGGCTCGTGGTTGACAACATCATTCAAGATGTGGTAAAACAAATCTTTCTGCATTCGGAACCGCCTATGAAAGTCGGTAGTATTAAAATGTGGCCTTTCAACAAAGTAGTCGGACATGAGATTGAGAGGGCGATCTTCCTTCTCACGGTTCTTGTACACACGACCGACTACTGACCCACCATGTTTGGTGGCTTCATTTTCCTGTGAAGTATGGTGGACAATGGCTTCTATCACTCTCTGATGATGTTCTTCATCATCTGAATCATCATCAAACATAAAGGAAAAGATGGCCTTGCCACGATTATCCATTGAAAACTTCAAATGATATGAAAAGTATGAGAATGAAGAAGATGATGTGCTTGAAATGATATCAAAAGTATGAGAATGAAAGAGATTGATGAAATTGATAAAGGAAAAATAAATTGAGAAATAGAACAAATGTTTTTGGTAGATTAATTGAGAAATGAGTGAGTTTTGGGGTTGGATCTGATTTGGATTAATTTAAAATATTATTTTGACCGTTGAATCTTTTTTTTACCGTTAAAATAGCTTAGATTTAATCTAGATCGTTAATTTAAAGTTACTATTAGAATTTTTTTTTTATAAAGAGATTTTTATTTTCCAATGTCTCTTTGAGTTGGAAACAGCCAGCATGTGGGCCTAATCGATACAATTTGAATTATTTTTTTTTTTATAAAAAAAGGAGACAACCAAAGCCCAACGGCTCTCTCACCTAGTGCCGACACGTGGCCCATGCCACAGACAAGCCCATCAGAACATGTAACCAGCGCAGGTCCCACCATTTTTAAGAAGCACATGGGCTCTACCACCTTGGCGTGGGCTCCAATGAATAGTATTGGGTCCAGACAATACTTGGACCCATATTTGGGTTTTCCCAAATTTTGGGTCCTTCATTTTCTTGGGTTGGGAGAGGTTTGGGAGGATATTTTGGGTTTGAGTACAAGGGTTGGAGATGGCCTAAGGAAGAAAAGCCCGGATCCTACATTTTTCCGTCCCTAGAGTTCAGGGTCATTTTTTTTTAACAAGTGTTTTACAAAGGGGCTATTTAGCCAATTTTGCTTTTTTAAATTTTATTTCTCATAACAAAAATGTTGAATCCACAAACGTGAAAATCAGAAACAAAACCGCAATTTTAATTGAGAGATTTAACTATGTTCAAAAGAAGAAACATGAACGTCTCTTCAACAAGTCAGCCCTGGGCCTAGTCCTAAAGGGCAACAACTTAGGGCATCTCCTTTTATGAAAGAGCTAAGGTTTTTGTGTTGAGTTTGTTATTGAAAAAATTTGTGTGTTTTGCCTTTGTGTAGTTAGCTGATTATATTAGTTTGTTATTAGTTACTCTTGTAAGTAATTAGTTAGAGCTATTGTAACAGCCTATACAGGTGGCTTTATCTATTGTATAGAGTAGACATGTGTTAAATACTCTTTTGTAATCCTTTCTCCATTAATTAATGAGAATCACAATTTCCTTTATGGTATCATATGCCTATTCGATCCTCTCTACCTTTTCTTCCAACCCGTGATTTTCTCACCAACCGAACAGTGCTTCTCATCAACCAAACAGTTTCTTCCGCTTCGGTTCTCTGATTTCCATGGCTTTTGAGACCAATTCTTTTTCTTCTGTGCGTTTTCTCTCTCTCTCACATCGTCTTCAATCCCTGCTTTTGCCACTGTTACTGTTTAAAACATCGCAGGCATGGTTTCGATCAAGCTTCAAGCTGGCAATTATTTGTTGTGGAAGAATCTTTTTCTTCATGTTCTTCGCAAATACAAGCTCATTGGCCTTCTCACCGGTGCTGATCCGCCGTTGTTGAGGACAATTATTAATGCTGTTGGTTGCATTGTTGATAATCCTGCCTTAGATCTGTGGTATGATAAGGATCAATCACTCATGATCTGGATCATCTCCACTCTCTTGACGGATTTGCTATCTCATACGGTCGGCATTGAGTATTCTCGTGATCTCTGGGAGATGTTGTAAAAACTTTTTGCTGGAGTCTCTCGTGCAAATGTTCATCATCTTCGTCAGTGTCTTCAGAATCTTGTCAAGGGGGATCTGTCTATGGTTTCCTATCTACAACAGATGAAGGAAATTGATGATGGCTTGGGCGATGCTGGTCATCCACTAACTGATGATGATTTGGTGGCTTACATTCTTGCCGATCTCTCTGAAGAGTATGATTCCTTTGTCACTTTTATTGAAACTCATCGGGAGAAAGTTTCCTTTGATGAACTTCACGGTTTCCTTCTCGGTCGTGAAGCTGCTATTCTGAAGCACAAACTCCGATCCAATTCCTTTGGACCTATAGAATCGTTTCATGCTTATGCCGCCACTCCTCGTTCTTCACAACACTTTTCTCACTCGCGTGGTTCCAACAACTCTAACTCTCAGCATCGAGGTTTTCCTCACACTCATGGTCTACTTCTGTCATCGCCTTCCAATTTTGCCCCAAATTTTTCTTCTCCTCCACAATTTGGTGCGCAAGGGTTTCACAGCCCCAATTTTTCTCGAAATTCGAGCCATGGGGGTGGTAATTCCAATCCAGGAGGTTCTTCTTCATTCAATTCTGCTGATTTTTCTTTTGGCCTTGTTCTTGTGTGTCAGTTCTACAACAAGAAAGGTCATGCCGCTAACACTTGTCGCAAATTGGGCCGTCTGTTCAATGTTTATGGCAGTTCATCTTCTGGACCATTTACTGGCTACTATGCTAATCCACAGTCTGCTGCTTCCTCTTCTTCTTGGATTGTTGACTCTGAATTTATGCAACACCTCTTATGCAATAATGATATTATCCACAATTTGCTTACTAGGAACATAACTGACTTGAGTAAGACTCACAATCTTGCTCATAATAGGTTTGAGTTTATTCACTAATTTTTTTTTTTTAGATTACCTTGTATAAGGTGTTGCAGAGGCTAATTGGTCTAAATTTAGACACAATAGTAGCATTTGTTACCTTCGGGACAAGAGCAATAAGCTTGTTGTTGAGGCTGTCAGGGAGGTAAGCAGTGGTAAAACAATCTTTGACCATAGAATATATGTCGGAGCTGCATAGGGACTAATTGTCATGGTAGAATTTAGCTGGGAATCCATTAGGCCCAAGAGCTTTAAGGCTGCCAATTGAAAACATGCTCATTTTTATATCATCGTCAGTTACCTCTCGGTTCAGGTTGTTCAAGTCCTCAGAGTTCAAAGTAGGAAAGAAATTTGGATGGTTATACATCTTATAAGTTCTGGGTTTTAGAGAGAATAGCCCATTGAAATAAAAAACCAACAAAGCATGCATGTCAGATTTATCAATGACCCAGACGTCATTGGTGTTCTTTAGTCTCTCAATTTTGTTTCTTCTTCATCTAACAATAGTAGATAGATGAAAAAATTTAGTGTTTTTGTCACCTTCCCTAAGCCATGTGTTTCTCGATTTTTTGAGCCAAAGAAGTTCTTCTTGCTCTATAATCACATTAAGATCACCATGAAGCTTTTTTTCTAACTCAATAAGAAAAAGATTATCCCTGTGGCAAAGATTTCTCTGAATAACATCAATCCTAGCCATAATCCTTTTTTTGTGTTGAAAGACATTGCCAAACACCTCATTGTTCAAGCTAGTGAGGGCCTTGGCCAGAGAAGTAGTTTTACAAACAATATTACCATGGGTATTATTCCAGGTAGTAGTGATAAAGCCCTTAAAGTCTTCATGAAGCATCCACATTGCTTGAAATCTAAAAATTTTAAATTCAGGTCTCAGGCACTGAGCAGATATCAGCAGAGGACAATAGTTAGACTTTATTCTAGGTAAATGTCTAACATATGCTTCAGGGAATGTTTGTCTCCAATCAATGCTACAAAGACCTCTGTCCAGTCTTTCCCAAATAGTTTCACCATGAATATTTTTCTTACACCAAGTAAACTCAGCTCCAGAGAATCCAAGATCCATTAAATGGTTCCCACTAATCCAATCAGCAAAACTGGTTTGACTGCGAGTGGGTATGCATCCCTTTTTCTTAGAGTCAACAATAATCTCATTGAAATCCTCAGCCACAAGCCAAGGCAGTTTAGAAACATCAGAAACACCGTCCAAATAGGTCCAAATAGACTTCCTAATTCCAGGGCAGGGGTGAGCGTAAACCACAGTTAAGAGCTATGGAATATTGTCATTCGTAATCAAAGATGTAATTGATTGGCTGGAACAAGCCACAATATTTAGTTGAACATTGTTGCAATTCCACAAAAGCCAAAGACCTCTTAAGAAGTCATTAGCATTGACAATGTAGTGATTAGTAAATCCCAGACTACTAAAAACATGTAATGCACAATCACCACTAATTCTTGGTTCAAGGATAGCAAGGATCTCAATACGATGTAATTGTGTAAGAGACTTGATTATTCTGGGTAAGAATTTATCCCCAGCACCTCTAACATTCTAGACCAGTATCATTGATAAATAATAAAATGAGGTAACAGGGAGAACCCCAAATTTAAAGAGTAGAGCTCATAGCCTCCACCAAGGCAGAAGTACAGCCAACAACACCAGATTTTCCATCTATCATGGCTTTTTGTAGCCTGCCATTCTCAATGGTAATGGTGTGGGGTAGGTGACTAACCTTAGTTTCATTTGGAATAACCATGTCAACCTGGTTGCTAGAGTTTGTTGAAGGGTGGTCTCGACCTTGCGTGGGAGCAGTGGATTGATAAATATTAGGGCGTCGTGCCCTGAGATAGCACCAGGTTTGAAGAAGCTGGAGCCATCTGTCTTAGCAGTACTTAGGTACTTGTTGACAATACTAGAAAGACCACCCGAATTTTCCTCATGAATATCCAAATTGCGAACTTGATAACCATTTGATAGGTGAGTTTTCTTGGGGGCTGTGGCTTAGTAATAGGCTTTTTAATGTATAGACCAGCAGGGATAGCGAAATTGTCTGTTTTTATTAGACCCGAAGTAGAGTTGTCCTATTGTCCTTTTCCCTTATTAGAGATGTCACCCAAGATTTTCCTTTGTCTATTACTTTGCTTTGATGTTTTTCATGATTCTTCATGCTAGTTTATTAGAGTTTTTCAGTCCCAACACTTGTAGGAGCAGGATGACACAGTTGTGGGTCAGTAGTATGGGGTTGCAAGGTAGTTTCCTCGGAATCAGGTTAGGACCCATGAATGTATATATGTAGAAATCAATGTTGTTGTCTCTCCCCTAATTTTGGCTTCGTATTGAAACCCATTTTTGAGCTCGAAATGTTGTAGGGGTGACCTCCCCTTTCTCGACCATCTCTTGATTTCGGCCGCCGATCTTCCGCCACCCCACATTTTTCCGATTGAACCATGCTGGCAAGATTTGGCGTTGGTGAATGGGTTGCATCAGCATGAAGCTGGCGACTACCTTGGCATCTCCTCGTTTCGATTACTCAGTCGACGTGGCCGACAATGGCTCCGTCGTTCTGGAGCCTTCTTCTTCTTCCTTGAAGAACAACGCTACCACTACACCAACAACAACAGCAAAATCAACCAATCCAAATCCATATCAAAACCTAAGTCTAATTGAAATTCTTCCGATTTTAAGAAAATTGATAGTAAGAAGAACGTTCAACGGTAGGACTGTGTTTTTTCAAGGGTATTTTAGGAATAATGGTGGGTGGAAAGATAAGATTGTGTTTTTTCAAATTTACATGGTGGGTGAAAAGATAAGGTGGGTTAGGAAATATGACTTTGGAGGTGGAAATAGCAGCACTCTAAATTTGGTGTCCCTAACATTTTCCATCAAAATTTACCGTGTTATGTGGGGTGTATTATTGTGTTGATTTTCTTCCCTCCTAAAATGTGCTTATTTGATGGAATTTATTGCAAATTTGTCTACTCACATATTAATCCTCCTAATTGTTTTAAATTTCAACTTGTTTCACACACACACACACACACACATATAAAATCCGTTGGAAACATAATCCCTAAAATTAAAGAAATAATTATTCAACATTAAATAAAGTCTTTTTTTTTTTTTTTTTTTTTTAAGTTAAATTGAGTTGCAAATTTTGTAGGTACATTATCTTAGCCTAAAAAAGAACGAATTGTAGGTAAGTTTTTAGCCATAAAAGACACATTGAGTTGCAAATTTGAATTGCAAATTTTGTGAAATATAGATAACTTTCATATTCATATAAATACACCTAAGTCCTGAGCATCTCCAAGGAAGTATGTAAAGGCTCGGGATCTAGACAACTTTGTAGACAATACATGCCATATTGATACCAAATACCACCCCCAACATATATTCATATTGAATATATATATATATATATATATATATATATTTGAGACATGTTGAATATAGTTTCTATGATGTACATATTAGGTTAGGTTAAAAGTCATATTAATAGCTCAGATTATCTCTACAAGCCGATCCCATCAAAGGACGCCATGTGGCTACAACAAACCAGGTTGCTTGCACACCAACCAGTCGGAATATGATGAAACAAAGATTGGACAAGTGGTTGGGTGTTTTGGGTACTTACTCGATCACCAGGGTGCTCTATTCCAACTAGAAGTGCATGGATGATCGGCAAGCCTAACCTATGTCAAATTGATCACTACCGCCCTTGATATGGATAGACCTGACAACCAAGAATGATCAGTTAATGCACATCCCATCCTCAAGCAGGTGTCGCTTTACCCTTCGATCTCTGAGAAAACAAGTTGGTGATAGAAAGAGAGCATTTAATACACCTCCCATCCTTGTTTACCTATCACTTCGCCACTTAACCCCTGTCATAAAGTAAGGTGATCAGAAAACAGAGCATTAAATGTGATTCAAACTTAGGAAAATAAAGAAAAGATATATCCCATAAAATATATGGGTCTCTTTTTTGCCCCCTATAAATACCCCTCACCTATCTTTGGACAAAGGTAATGAATATTCTCACTGTGGAAACCCTATATCCATTTATCTCCAGTTCATGTTAGTTTCTGACTTAACCATCAGAGGGGTTTGAATTAGGAACAACCCCAGTCTGCTCTTATTCTGATATTGTTCCAAATGCGCAGATCTTTCTTAGGAGATTACTCATCTACGTGGGTAAACACGAGCTTAGGTTCAAGCCCAGGGCCAAGTCTCCTATATGAGAAGGATACGTGGTTTACAAGTCACATGCATGGGAGAGAATTGAAATTGATTCGGATTTGAATTGTTAGAAACATAATCCCTAAAATTGAGGATATAATTATTCAACGTTTAAATCAAAAAATAGCATTACGGATATGCTATAATCCAACCTCTCTCTCAGTACCAATTTTCAAAACTCTCTTCGCTCGCCCTCTCTCTCTAATCTCTGTTTCAGGTTCAGATTTTAGATTAAATGTTATGGTTGTTGAAACCTAGATTTGCATCAATTTTTCACTAAACCTAGATTAAAAAGATGGGTGTCGAGGGCTACCATGTGATTGAGCTTGTAGGCGAAGGTTCATTTGGGAAGGTATACAAGGGAAGGCGGAAGTACACTGGTCAGGTAGGAAACCCTTTTGCACACCTAATTTTTCCTTCTCAATTTTTCTTCCTTTTCGTTTATGCGGCGGTTCATTGTTTTTATCACTGCTTCAGACAGTTGCAATGAAATTCATCATGAAACATGGGAAAACCGACAAAGATATTCACAATTTAAGACAAGAAATTGAGGTAATGGACTCATTTATCATCTATGATTGATATTTGTCTGATATTCACCGTTCCTAAATGTACAGATCCTAAGAAAGTTGAAGCATGAGAATATAGTTGAAATGCTTGATTCCTTTGAAAGCCCACAAGAGTTTTGTGTTGTCACAGAATTTGCACAAGTACGGATCCCTTTTTTCTTCACTATGACTGCTATAATTTATCTATACTATCTTGT